TTGCTTTGTCTGATCACATGTTGCTACAAGAATATTATCTTTTCTAACAAAGTAAAATAAAACATGTTCTCCACCTCTTCTTCATGTCATTATTAATTATGCCCATCATAGAATTAATAAAAATAATTAGTGTGAGAAAGTATTAATTAAATAATATCATCAAAATAAGTATAAAAAGTTTATTTACTTTAAAGTAATTTATTGCTGTATAAAAAGTAAATTTATCAATATAGTAAAAATATATATATGCATAATATCCCCAAAATACCATAACTTTATAATAATACTCTATAGATTTACTGTACTTATAAAGTCACCTAATTTAAAATATTTTTTTCACCCAAAAACATTTAAAAAATAAAGTAAGGTGAAAAAGCGTAAAAAGTGGAGGAACTTCTGTACTTGAGCAAAATAGCATATCTTATTTATATGACTCTTGATCTTGTCACCCCCATTTATGAGTTAATTATTGGAACAAATTAAGTAATTATTAAGAAATAATATGTTCTTAAGTAGAATAATTAATTAAATCTTTAATATGACAATAAATTTTATTTATAAATATATTGTTTCTATTTTTTATTAAAATATTAAAATTATATCATTAAAATAGTAGATGTATACAATATTACTTATAAACTCTTGAATGAAAAAAAAATCAATGATATAATAAAATGTCATAATAGTAAATTTACAATATCACATGGCATTACAACTATATCATTTTAATTAACTTTTTTAATGTCATATTATATTGCATAATATTTTAACTATAATATTACGTGACATTATACTTATAACATTAAATCTTATATTGTTCAATATTATGTACAGTATGATGTGATTTTCAAAATGATATTGACTAAATAAGATGGGTTAGAAATTTACTCTTAGAAAATTCTAATTTATTTAGCCATTCTAAATTAGTACCATGTACTTTCAAATTTGCCCCTTCTTAGGTTAAAATTAAGAATATATCTTTTTAATACATAAAGACTAAAAATCACATCCTAAATTTATAATTAAAAATATAAATAATTATACTAACAGATCACGTAGTTGCGAATAAAGTACAATATATGCCATTACTATGAGTGGTTGGAAGGAAAGTAGTAATATATTACTTTATTTATTTATCTTTTCTTCTATCTCAAGTTTCTATTTTAGTAGTAATTGGAAAGTAGCACCGCCAACGGTTCCCATGGTGGTAGAGGTGGCAAAAGCCAGCTTCACCCGTAACCCACCCCTACCTTTTTTATTTTTTGGAAAAAAAAAATTCAATTCTTTATTCTTGGAGTACAAGGGGGGATTCCGAAACCTGTTATATTACACACTATTTACAACAAAAACACATAACCCTCTTTGTTACAATATCTATTAAAGTTTCTGCACATGCTGCTGCTCCTTGTCTTTTCGGCAAGAGAGAAGCTTCAGACAGCCACATTCTCTCTCATCATGTTTCTTGCCACTATAGCTTGCCCTCATGCAATCTAAAGGGAAAAGTAACCAGTCTGACAATGAGAAATAGCAGTTATCCCCCTTACCTTTAATCCAGTTAAAAGATCTCAGTTGAATCAATTCCATCATCTTTCCTGCATCTATCTCTTTCCTTTGAAAATCTTCTCATTCCTCGCTCTCTACACCTTCCAAACCTAGGAAAACCAGACACAATCCCATCCTACCTGCCCTTTTTGTGTCTTCATTAAGCTACTGCGTTGCTCAAATATTCTTAAACATTCTTTATCCATCTCAGATTTTATTACCCACCATTTAAAGCATGTTGCCCACAACCCGACCCTAACTTAATTCGTGAAAATGAGTTAAAATCTACATATTCCACCCATAACTCAAAAATAATCTATAATATCAACTTATATGGGCCATGGGTCAACCCTCAAGTTAATGGGTTGACCCATTTTTTTTCTTTTTATTAAAAAAAAAACATTTTACTTATTATTTTTAATTGATTTTCCTATTAGTAATTCTCTCCATTGATGCATACTCTCCACCCTCTGCATTACTTATATGGTTTTTAACTTGTTTGAAGTGTTTGTTCATCATTATTTATTTTTGCTTCTCTAAACTATGTGTTGGGAATTTCGAGCACCACAATCCCACACAAACGGAAGCGATAAAGAAATTGAGACAATAATTTAACGTGGTTCGACTTGTACACTTCTCAACAAGTCTACGTCCACGGGAAAGAGAAAAATAAATCTACTATTAAGAAAAAGAGTACAATAATTTGAAAGTTTTCTCACTTAAGAAGCTTTCAACCCCTAGCTTCAATCTATAGAAACTCCCAAATTCTCCCTAATACTTTCTCTTAATCTACACAAGGATTTCTCACAATTTCTCTCTTTCTTTTCTCTCACAAGAGCTCTCCCTCAATTTCTCTTGCTTTCTCCTACTCTTGCTTGCCCATTACCTTTGCATGCATGGGTATTTATAGTGAAAACTCCAACTACCCATGCACCATTTTTCTTTGCCTTATTACCACCCGGCCAAGATTTTCTATGCCCATTAAATGGCTCAACATGCAATCTTGCATGATTTCAACAAAGCAATCTTAGCCCACCACTAGCTAGGTTGGTGAAGCAAATTTCCACACAAAAAGTCCATGGGTTCACACATGAAGTCCATGGGTTCACACATGGGGTTGGACTTTCTTCCAACACTATGTGGGTTTGATTTTTCTCTCTTTGATAAGGAACACAGCAAATTCCATTAATAAAATATCAAAAGTTAGAAAGCTTAAATAGAGGATAAACATATCACAATATCTTCCTTCAATCCCACCAAGATTTGCTAGGCACTGCAATGAACTCTTTGAACATGTAAAGCAATTTTTACGAATTAGAAGATTAAATAAATTTCCTGAGGAGAAAAAAAAAGGGTTCAGAACCTGAGAGGCAGTTGAGTAGTGGAATATTTGTTATGTTTATCAATTATCCTGCCAACAAATTTGTATACAGCCTTTAGAAGTTCCTGGTCCTTTGTTTTTTTCTAGAAAACTTCTAGTTTTTCCCACTTACTGTATTTCTTGATATCAGGTCTGACATAGAATCTGTTCTAGTTACGATATTTGATGACATATTCAATGTGAAAAGTTCTGTATTATGGAAACAAATCCTTTTATCAATCACAGTTCATGAATCACGACTCTTCATAGCAACAATATATTCAGCATTATATGCAGCATATCAGTCACATATTTAATTGTATATATTTTATTATATATATGTATATATGTATATTTAGTTTCCACGTCTAATTGCAGACTTTGTGTATATACATCATTTAACACTGTGAATAAAGATCATTGTTTCATCCTATAGTCTTTGTCCTATTAGTGGTATCAAAGCCTAGACTCCATTCCATGTCCATTATTAGCCCACTTGATAAGTCTTAAAGTTAATACTAGACTTGCATATAAAGAGACATATTAACCCATGTGATAAAACTCGACATTTATAGTAGGCCTATACATGAGGGGTGTGTTAGGTGAAAAAATCTCACATCAAATATATAATAAAAAAGTATGTTGATTTAATATAAGGAGGTTACTCCATTTATAACCAATTGGTTTTAAATTAGATGAAAGTCTTGTATGAAAACCCACAAATTAGATGAAAGTCTTGTATGGATCCCATATGCACGATATTTCAAGAAAATTTCTTGGAAGCCTATTGATTCCACCTGATTCAGGTTCTTTATGCTTCGTCCTTCATTTATGGATTCAATTATGTTTTAATATTTCAAAGTTTGGCATTAATTTACGAGAGATCATAAACCGAAGTATAGTAAATAGCTGTAGCATTTTAGTTACTTTAAGTTTAGAATAAACAATAACACCATCGGTATGGTGGTTTCTTGTTCAGAGGAATTGAAAAGACTGTTCCTGGAATGATGGGATGGATAATGCACTTAAACAAAATTTAGTAGCAGAGTAGCAGTAGTAGTGATCTGAAAAATCTAAAATACTGGATCACTGAGCTTCTAAGTTTGTCTTTGATGATAGCACTTCTTTATGTAAATTTTTGTCTCAATTTGTTGGAAATTTTGAGTTTTGGATTTTTGTTTAATCACATTCTAGTCTAACAAATCACAGCAGTTAGCAGGCATAAGTAGTTCTATATTATGCTTTTCGTTGAATTGATTCT